GTCCTAGCTCAGTTGCAACTAATTAATCCAAAGCATCTGCTCCCCGATGACTTTGATTCTTTCCAGGAGTTTTTTTTTTTTAGTCTGTTTTTGCTTTCTTGGATTATTTTTTACTGTTGTTTGCTGCAATGCCTTGGATTTATACTTCTGGAGAAATACTTGGCACAACTGGGAGAACAGTTGGAAAATGAATGGCAACAGTAGTGCAATATAATCAGTAAAGATTTATGAAGATGGAAAACTTGACTTGTGATGTGCCTGTGGGTAGCTGTGTGAGCTCTGGGAAAGTAGGAGGAAGGGTAAGGAGCTATACTGCATAACAAGAACCAAGCACTTCACTGATGGTGGTTTTTGCAGCAGTAACTCTTGTCTTCGCCGAGGGTGAGAAGTGACAGCGAGAAGAGGCAGGTGCTGAGGTAGTTTGACAGCCTCACACACTTGGTGTAGCATCAGTCCCTGTCCAACTGGAGGAAATGCCTTTCTCCCCCAGCATTTCAGAAAGGATCCTAGACCCTACCACATCTGTACAAAGCCAGCTGAAGGCCCAAACCGTCATATCTTGGAGATGCAGGGCCTGTCAAAAATCAGGTAACACTTTCAAAAGACCTCCCTGTGATGGTCCAGCGCAAAGCACTGCAGTAGTGTGTAACCCCCACCCAGCAGATCATTCCACCTCATGCTAAATTTCCAGTGCATGAATATTCCCATCAACTTCAGAGAGGTTTCTTATGGATATTCCAAATGTCTTTGCTCTTGCAACTAAGCAGAGAGCTGTGCAAAGGAGGCAGGAGGAACTGTAAGGTTGTAGGAGCACTTAGTGATTTTCACCTTATCATCTCTTTTTTCATAGAGGAGTTCAAGTTAACAAGAACAGCGTTCAGATTCCTGATGAATCCATAACAAGTGTTCATTTCAAAGCCAAGTTTTCCATATTTTATATATATGTATTTATATGAAATGGTAGTCTGAGTGTTTTATTCGAAAATATGCTACATTTTTGCTTGCAAACATTTAAGTTAGCTTTAAGTGAAGGTTTCTTTAACCTCTTTTCTTTTTGTGATATAAGCTGTAGTCCTTTTCAGTTTTATTTCAGTGGAATAAAAAAAAAAGGTTTCATAAAGCTTTGCAGCTTCGTAGCATAAACTCTATCACCTCTTGATATCCTGACCATTTTGCCTGTTCTCCTGGAACATTTTCTCATGAGACACTTCTGTATGTTTGGTCATGTTTTAATCTTGGAAAGCTCCACCTGAAAGTAAGAGCAGGATGTCTGCAGTGCATAAAGAATTCTTGGGGTTTGCCTTGGAGACCACGGCCACCCTGAAGAGTTGAGTTTGTTACATGCTGGCAGTGCCTTGAGAAACATGGAATCATTTTGGCTAAAAAGACCCTCAAGATCATTGAGCCCAACTGAAACGCATCACCACCCTACCCAGCTAAACCATGTCCCAAAGTGCCTCATCTACGTGTTTTTGAATACTGCAGTGTCAGTAACTCTATCAGTTCCCTGGGCAACCAATTGCAATGCTTCGCCAGTCTTTCTGTGTCGATTTTTTTTTCCCTAAAATCTAATCTGAACCTCCCCAGCACAATTTGAGGTCATTTCCTCTTGTCCTATTGGTAGTTATTTTGCCCCTGTATGAATCACGATTTTTTTTTTTCTGGAGGATGCTTCAATGCTGCAGTGTCAGGCATTGTGTGACTGGGATCACGATAAACGCTCAGTGCTTCATGCTGTTGACGGGCTACTTTTTTTGTTAGTTCTAGGGGATTCTTTCCTTTTGAAACCTTGGAGCCATTTCAGTTTAGTGGTGCGACCAAAAGCCCAGAAGCAGTAGCTTCTACTCGAGATGTTCTGCATGAGCTGACGTAACTACGTGACACCTTGGTGATGAGCCGGCCTCCGCTGTGTGGATGAGTAGGCCAGTTCAGGTCAATACTGAATACTGGCAGCGGCCTCACGGGCTGCTTGCTGGGCTTGTGCTTCCTTTTAGCCTGATTCCTGTGCAGTCATCATGAGGCTGCTGAACACCAGTTATATGAATGTGACAAGGACTTTTGAGTAGAAGGCCAGATGCACCATCTTTTTCAGAGATTCCTAAGTGAGAAGATGCTGTTAATTCACCACCTAGAGTTCAGGGCAAAGGTTTAGCTCACTTCTCGTTTTACTTTAACTTAATTACTCACCTGTAGTAACCAGCCTGTCTGAGAATAAGTATATGCAAATTCCTCAAGCTCTTATTCTATATTAAAGAAAAAAAAAAACTGTGGTGTGACTTTAAACTTAATCATTTATCCCACCCTGAAGGCATGGAAGTTAATGATGATATAGATCTGTGTGGTTTTGCGTTCCTCTTGACTGAACATTGGAAATAATTAGAGCTTGTGGGATGGGTGGCACTGATGGTGCATGTGAGCACAAAATGTCTGTGAATGTATATGCTCCTTCTCCCCGTTCATGGGCAAAAATACGTGTGCTACACGGACTCCGTGCTGTGCAGTATTTTGCAGATTCGTTGAGAGGTACCTAGCTGGTGCCGAGGAGAAAGGAAGCGGGAATAAATCAGTTCTGTTCTTTGAAAGCTTTTAAGGTTCCAGCCCAGCAGAGCTGCTAGTGATTTCTGGAGAGGTTGCTTAGCGGGAAAAGCTTCCCTGCTTGCCCAGGGCTGCTGAGGATAGACGGCTCTGCGTTCGGCTGGGGGAGCATGTAAAGCGCTGGTGCTGATGCAGAGGCCCCCAGCTATGCAGGGGCTGAGCCTGGTGCTGAACGTGCGCACTATGGAAGCACCAAGGCCATTTTGGCCTGAATCGCCTCCTCCCGTGCCATAAATGCTGGGTTTAGTTGGCTGTTAGGCAGCCACAGCCAAGCGCACAGTCTTCAGGCAGGTTGGGGAGGATCTGGTTATGCCTCTTCTGAAATGATCTGTTGTCCCTTTTTTGCTATGTTGTAGGCTGAAGCAGAGAGACTTTTGGTTTTTTTTATTGGGGAGCTTAGGTTTTTGCCCAAGTATTCACTCCATTAGTGCTTAGGGCTTCTGTTTTTGGTGGTGCCAGCCCTTTCATAAAGTTCCTTTCCTCATGTTGCAGGCATGTTCTTACACCTGTCGTGTGCCTGTTGACTCTTCCACTGCCTGGCCAGTCCTCTTTTTTTTTGTTTTGTTTTGTTTTGTTTTGTTTTTAGTGATGAAAGCTGATTTGACCAAAATAACATCCCTGGCTGGGAGTCCATGAGTTTGTGGCTCTCAAGCCCTGGGGCAAGAGGGCAAGATTGCCCAAGCAGGCGGCCTGCAAGACTCACGTGTGTTGGGAGCTCCTTTGGCTGAGGGTTGGGGAGCTTCCCCCCTCAAAAAGAGAGACTCCAGGGCTTTCATGGCATGGAGTCAGGGTCTGACACTGATACAGGACACACAGACTTTCCAGAGAAGTCTGCCGGGGGTTATGGTTGCAATAGGAAAGATGGGGATACTTTGCACTGGAATAGTTGTTACTTCTGTTTATAACAGTTTTTGGTTCTTGAAAGCAAAAGAAATATCTCGGTCTTTACGGGCAATTTAAAATAACTACTAGCTGAATGTATTCCTTGAAGCAGATCAATACAGTGTGGTATTTTAGGAGATATACTGGGAAAGCAATTCTAGGCAAAAGCCATGGGACAGCCGGAGAGGCTGCTGTGACTTTTAAGCCCCTCAGAGCCATGTGAATTATACTGGGAGCCTCTGTGGTCTCCAAAGTGGCCCAGTCACAACAATTTAAAGTCACTAGAGACTTTTGTTTCCTTGACTTGTGAATTTGGTGTTTTACCTTTTACCGGGCCCAGTGCAGTAGCTCATCTCCTTTTTATTTTGTTCTATTTGCAACTCTACTGGAATAAGGGAAGAATTGCCTTTTTTTTCTAACCGAAGATTTAGTATTCACTTTTGTTGGTTGACTCACTGTTATAAAAATTCCCACTGACTTGATTTAGAGTTGAATAGATCATATTATCTTCTCATATGCACCGAATTGTTTTGAAATTGAAGTTAATAACAGCAATTTAAAAATTGCCGTTGATACAAAGAGAATACAGTGTTTAGCTGTCATATTCTTTTTAAAATTTGATGTTTGAATAAAAGCACATTTCTCTCTCTTTTTTTTTTTTTTTACATAATTAATATATCACAAAGAACTTTATAGCATCAAACACTTCATCTAATTACATTCATTAGTTGCATCACCAGGACAAGTTTTAATTAAGTTGTACAATGTAGATCAATACTTGTTTTGCATCCATTGCAACTTAAGACAAGAAGATACTGTTCCACACTGTTTAATCACAGTGATGGTAAAGCAAGGAGTTTGGATAAATCTGCTGTTGTGTTGGCAATCTCATAGCATTCCCCACACTCTTCAAAAAAAATATGTTACTGTAAAACTGGGAGTGTTAGAAATCCTGTTTTTAAGAGTATTTTAAAATGACCTTTCTTCGGTCGCTATGAAGGAAGAAGTGCAGCTGTGTTTAGGAGCACTTGGATTTTGGCCTTGGACTTCAGCTGGAGAAGGAAATTAATGAGCATTTTACCTGAAGACTTCAGTGAAGAAAATTTGGCTGTTAGTGGGTCATATCTATAATGACCGAGATAATAACAGCACTTTTATTTTGCTTAGGCTGTGATGTGGAAAGCAACCTAATGGTGTATTTACTTACTGTGACTGTGCTTCAGTCTTGTCCCTGGATATTATTCCCACTGACTGTGCTGTAGTGCATTGAAAGCTCCCAATTTTCTTTGTGCTTTAGCAGGAGAAAACAATCTAGCTAGCTGGATTGCCATGTGTTGCCATGTACTTTTGCTATCCATCACAAAAAGAGGCTACCTTTTTATTTTAACCTCCTTGGTTATAATTAACCTCCTTGGTTAATTATAAGCAGTCTGATTACCATTATTGCCCAAATCTTGAAGTATTTACTGAAATTTGTAATCCATCCAACTTCCTTAAAGGTTTTTCCTCTTGTTCCTTTTTAGTGAATTTACTGGACTCGCGCACAGTAATGGGAGATCTGGGATGGATAGCGTACCCAAAAAATGGGGTAAGTCTCTGTTTGCTTTCTCACTCACAAATTATACTAATCGTTTCCATTCCAAATGCAGACTACTGGGTTTAAAAACCTCCCTGGAGTGTTTTGTTGGCAATGGAAGGAAAAAATAAATAAAACAACAAGCTGTGACTGGAAAAACGGAGCTGTGTGGCTAGGGGATTGATTTATTTATGCCATAGAGTCAGCCACAAGTATTTAAAAAAAAAAAAAAAGAAGAAGCTCATAGATTTTCTTGGTATGAAGAGAGGGGAGAAGGCTGACTTTAAATGATAAATTCTGATTTTTTCTTCTTTTTGAGTATTTTGGGTGAATGCATATCAGTTTTCTTGAAGTCTTGTGCACCCCAACATCTAGAATATTATTGTTTGCTTTAGATGAGCGCTCCTGTAAATACCTGTAGGTCTGAGCCCCATCTCATTCCACTAACTACACTGAAAAGGGAAGGTATGTGGCTTCCTGAGTTGATATTGAAGAAAGTGTTGGGGTTTAGGAACACAAACATCCTACAGTGGATCTGTTTGGTCTGACTGCATCTTCTGAGCCGCCACTGTTTTAATGGTGTCTTCTCCATGTACATCTGGGTAACACGGATCAACATGTTTTGTTTTCCTGCAGTTGCAGGAAATATCAAGTGGTTGCCTACCTGTTGTGGTCTTGATTTCACTGGGACATACTTGATATGCTGGTGTCACAGAGAGTTTATTGATAAAGTCATGTAAGGTTGCTTCCTGCAAGCTGACTTCTTTCAATTCCTGGAAGTGATGAACAGTATCTGATGTTAGAAAATGTCCTAAGATTGAAACACTACACAGCTGTGCCCTCCAACAAGACAGCCTTCAAGATTGTGGCATTCCAAATTTTTAAACACCAGCTGAAACTGGCTGCAGGATTGCCTTGGATTCCAATTTCATTTGGATGCCAGTTGGATTGTATTGAAAATGGTAGTGGCAGTGTTTATATATGAAATCCATGTAAATGCCGTGCGTCTATGTGCAGACAGTGAATTCAAACCTGACTTTCTATGTATTCTATTCTTTTTTCTTCCATGTGTTTGAAGAGCTGCCTGCTACGTCATGCTTTATTCTTACTGTTAGGAGTATTCTGTAGGTTGTAGTCACTTTAAGTACTTGGTAGAAATTCCAATAGTGATATGGTTCCTAGCGAAGATACATTTTTAAGTAGCCTTCACAAACTCTTTTACTCATTAACCTAATGTCAGTAAAAGTTTTCAATTAATTTTGTTTTTTTATTTTAGAACCACATCTGCTAGAAGTAGGAGACTGCATAAGGAGCTCAACTGTTATTAAAGAGATCAAGCATTTAGTCTTTGTAGTTCTCTGGAAAAGCCAGGGAAGGGATACTTGGGGAAGTATGGGAAGTACAGGGACGGCTCAAAATGAAAGGCTTTGAAAATAATTCCTGCACCTATTCTTAAAAAATAAGTAATGGAGGGCGGGGCAAGGGAGGCGAAGAGAGGGAGAGAGGTCCAGTTCACAGATTCACAGAATATTTAAGGTTGGAAGGGACCTCTACAGATCATCTAGTCCAACCTTCCTGCTCAAGCAGGCACACCTAGAGCATGTGGCACAGGGTGGCATCCAGGCGGGTTTTGAAGACCTCCAGAGT